GCAGAGGGTGTGTTAAATAAGTTAGGAAATCTTTGCCAAAGCTGAGCTTCCAAGATAAGGAAAAAGAGTTCAGCTCATCACTAGCACGGATGATCTTTTATCCAAGAAGTTATCTGAATTAAAAACCTCAATAAATAAGAACTAGAATTCCCTCCATTGTCTTTTAAGAGGCTGTGGTGCAGGGTCCTGGAACCCTGAGGTTCTTGAGAACTTTATAAAGGGCACCTAAATTAAAAGATGAGCTTAGAGTAACCATGCTACCTTGAAAATAGATAGATATTTGTATTTGTAACCGGAAGAAGAATACTGGAAAGATTATGGGAGGCACTTTCAATTTACACTCCTTCTCCCCCTACCCCCAATTTAACCAGCATCTTAATATACATTTTCAGTGCATCTAAACTATGTGTCCAAATTCCTCGTAATGCACAAGTCTCTTTGTATTCAAATCAAGATCGGACATTTTCTGGAAGTTAAGCAGTTGAAATCCATTATTTTAGCACAGAACAAAAATCTACCAGCAGTTTGCTGGTGAATTTCTTGGTCTAATCCAACTTTTTTTCAAGAAAATGAAGGCAGAATTTCATTGCTAGGCACAGAGGGATAATGCAGAAAAAAGGATAAAATTAATGTTCTCTGTAACTCATACTGCCACGAGTCTCTGTGGAGTGTGGCGGATTAAGGACATAATAAACAAACAAACATTTCTTTAAAACGTATGCAAGTAGAGGGAAACTATCCCAGCTAAACCCAGCAAGAGTAGATACCATGCTGAGGTCCAACGAATATATCCTGAGAGACCAGGTGCTTTGGAGACACACAAGCAAAATCTTCTCCTTAAAACTAAAAAAAAACAAAAGTGTGCTCTGTGTAAAAAAATGTAAGCAACTTTTCTTTGTGCCTCAACATGAAGAAAATACACAGGGCCTTCCCTTCCCCCCACTCTTTTTCCACTGAAGGTCATGATGAATGGTTTGTGCTCTTAGGAAAATGCTTGACAATCACCAATCAACTTTTAAATCAAAAACAGCTTGCTTTCTGAGTGGGGAGGAAAAAAACGCTCAATTTATTCCATAAAACTTTATGTACACAGCAGCAACGGCCATGAACTTAATGGCCATAATACAGTGTCTACAGAGTAATTTTTATTACAATTTATAGCAAGATTACACATACTCCAGTTTTCAGGCCTTTATGGAGATTTTACAGGACTTTGCAGCTTGACAATTTGCTCTTGTGCAGCCTCCAAAAAGCGGGCCTAGCCCCCACGCTTCCATTTTGTCGCTATCCACCTCAGCCTTCTGAGGTTCTGAAGACCATCAATATTCCTCTGTCCAGTCAGGCTGTGCTTGTAGTACTTCTGCACCCAAAACATTTCTGTGGATGTTGGGGGTTCCTATCAGCCATAAAGACCCACAAGAAAATGATACCTTACACATAATTCAAACGCACATCTATGGAGACTTTCCCCCCCATAAAGATCTGAAGCCTTTTTTTCATTTTGAGTGGAATACTGCTGAATTCACACTTATTTACAGGAAGCTGAATTCTTGAGAGTGTCAAGACCTAAATCACACCAACTATCTAATTTATAACTGATTCACTCTAGAACATAAAGCAAAGCCAGAGGGACAAAAAGCAATTACAGCTTTGAGCAGCACACAATATAGGGTCTCAACGTGCAGATTTTCAGCCAAGACTCTCCCAAAAGTATCTAACAAAACCTGACCCCTTTTTCTGCCTCTAAGGCTGTGCAGATACTGTCTCAGCTAAGGTCGCCCCCAGGTCTCAGAACGGGCCTTTGTGAGCATTCCCACAGCAAGTGAGAGATTTGTAAACATTCTGGGACATCGCACCATTTGGGCCAATGGGCACTAAAGGTGAATGCACTGCACCCAAACCCTTTACGTTATTACACGAAGTCTTTAGTCTAAATGAATGACCTGCCTCAAAAGAGTTCCCGATGTATAAATTGCAAATCAAAAGAGCGTGGTTGCTCTGGCTATATTTCTCTTCTCTTCTAGGAAGCCCATATGTGGCATCAAACAAGGGAACGGTAGACAGAAGGCTAGCAGAGTGCTCAGTATAAATTGAGTATCTGCGGACAACGGTCAGAATGCAAATTTTATCCTAAGGAACATAAAACTCAGAGGTTCTTCTAGACATGAACACTGTTTTTTAGGAGGCATGCCTGTGATCAAATCATTTGCACTTGGGAGGAACTAGGAAAATCCAGACTCAGGTCTTCATTCAGCTCATGGGATGCTACAGCACCCTGAAATTCTGGACACAAATGTTCCACGGCCCCATTATAAAGTCAGGATTATCCATCCACAGGGAATTCAAGCCATCTTCCCACAGTATATAGCTGCCCTTCACAAAGAGGTCCAGGAGCTGAGAAGGAAAATAAATTCTGAAGATTTAGGAATAGATTCATGAAATACACAACTGCCTGTTAGTAGGAGCAAGAGCGGCAGTATATAACCACCATCATGGTGAAAATTAACATGGAAGCGAATGAAAAATCATTTCAAGGTTGTTGGGGATTTTGCCTGACACTCTTAGACCAGATCTAGATCTCCTTCCCCTCTTTTCCTTGGAATGCTGGATTATATAAATATATAGCATGACATTATGGTTTACGTTTCTTTATTCTCTGCTCCTGGATGATGCTCACAGTGGGGAGCAGTAAAGAAACGTATGGAAACATATTCCCATCTCTATATATACTTCATGCACAAGGAAGAAGCAGGATCCAATGCAAAGCTCCTGACAGCGACACATCTGGGATCACACCAACAAAACCAGCATGCCTACAAATGTCTTGCCTCAGGGTTCACCCATTTTGTAGAACATCAGAAATGTCCAGTAAGGTGTCCATCTGATTTTTTTCTAACAGTTCCACATCTGGTGGACATCTAGTGGACTACATACACGTGTAGGTCCTTTCTAGCATTTGTGAAGCAGATAGAGGCCATCAGTTCAGAACTCAACTCCATTCCTCCGTTAGTTCAAGAACCCACTAAACCAGCCCAGAATGCAGCCTTCCAACCCTGCTCTGAAATCCTCCACGAGTCTAGGCAGATGGTTCTACTAATTTACAGCCCTCCTAACTATCAGGAAACTCCTTCTAATGTTGAGCTTGATGCCCCTTCCTTTTAATTTCAACCCACTGATGCTTGTCCTGCTCCTGGTTCAAGAGAGAACAGGTCTGTCCCCTCTTGCAAAAAGTGGCCATTTAGATATCTGTAGACTTTTATCATATTCTCCTTCGCTAAGGCTTCTCTTCAGCAATCTAATCGTGCCTAGCTCCAACTTACTCATGGCTCTGTTTCCATAACCTTTAATCCTTCGCTGAGCTTGTCCGGCTTATCCAGGTCCCTTTGAAATCCAGTGTCCAGCACTCAGTATTCCAACCGCAGTTTAACCAGAGCAGGGAACAACACAGCAATGAACTCCTTCCCACAGTCTGGAAGTCGTGCTTCTGTTAATGTAACCAAAGGCTGCATTGGCTCTGCTTGCTCACGTTCAGCCCGTAGTCCCTGCGACCCCGAGGCCCTTCTCACATGAACTCTTACGCAAAGTCTTCCCAGCCTTCTCCCTATGAGTTGGCTTTTCCTACCCAGATGCAGGACCTTACATTAGTCACCATGTTGGTTTTGGCCAAAAGTTAAGACCTGTTGAAGTCATTCTGAATTGTGTTTTTGCTGCTTAATGTATAGACAATCTGCCTAAATTCCCATCCTCAAATCTGATGACTACCCCTTCCCTTCCATCTACTAGGCCATTTTTAAAGATATGAAATAACACTGCATCAAAATCAGAACCCCCAGCCCATAGGGCTGGTGGGCGGGAGGAATATTTGAGGCTCCATTCAGAACCATTTACAGGCATGTTTTAAGCAAATGCATATCCAGTCCACTTTAATACACTCATTGACAAGTATATCAAGAGGGACTTTGTCAGACGCTTTAAGCTCAAGGTCCACAGTTCAATTAATTTTTCAGCAGCGATTGCTAAATCACCTTCATTTCTAGTTTTGCCCCCATTAACATGGTCAGGGACATTTTAAAGTCATAAGGAAGACCAGAAAATGTGGAAACTGCCTCCAAACCTGAGATTAACTGTCCATATCATTCCTGCAACCTTAAACTATGAACTTACTTATCCACAATCTGCGTCATCTTTATGATTCTTCACATGGAATGTGATTGCTTCCAACTCTGACCACTGCTACAGAAGCTCCCCTGTGAGTTATCATGATCAAGCAACTGTTATGAATCTTTGTTACATTGAGAGACAGACAAGCATCCGAACAAGCAACAAAGGCTTTAAAGACAAAGAGGGGCTAGCTTATCTAAGGCAAAATCCTGGGGGCCCTCCAGTATCTTCCACCCTGCGTTTGAATGTCTCAGTGGCAGAGCCCACAGGTATCCCACAGCAAGGGCGTGGTGATATCACGATGCAAACGCCACCCTTTTGTACATGCGTCCCAGCACCCAACACATTTTGCTCTCCCCCAATGGAGAGCTTAGGCAGAGCACCCACTAGTGTGAAACCACTGCTAATCACAATATATTTCCTATAAAGACTACATTGTGACCAGGATTTTAGCATTCAGACACTGCACATACATTTTCTCACAACAGTTCCTACCAGAAACCCGTAAGATAAATCAGTTCTATGGGCCCCACTGTAGTGGTGGGGAAGCCTAAGAACACAGCCCAGGAATTGACCTCAAGGAATCCACAGCAAGGGCGGCACATGACTCCAAAGAGTCCCACTTGGAAGCTGTGGTATAAATACTCTAGTATCTCAGTTGCCTGGGTCATGAACTAGCCTCTCCCACAACTGGCCCAAAGAACCGTGAATACACATTCGTTTTAGCTTGTTTTCAAAGCGCGAGTGAGGCAGGTTGTCAAATGGTGCTTCAGAATGATTCAGGAAGCACCCTTCAACCGTGCTCCTTTGGGAGTGTCTTTTGTAAGAGACCATCTTACCTTTGACATGACTTCTCCCGTCCTCTAGCAGCGGTACTACTATAGTGTTGTTGACATTCCCTGGCGATCTCACCGCAGTGTAGACCACCGGCACTGACTGCACCACCACTGGAATGCGGTGTACGTGACTCATTTTGTTGGTCTGCAGGTTCATGGGGCTTGAAGGTGGGACCGGGTGGATTATGTGCAAAAATTGTTGCCCTCCAACACCAGAGGCAGATGCCACAAGCGGGCCCGGAGTTAATACCGATGGTGCCGACGCCGCTGAGGCCACGGATGTTATTACCGTTGGGGATGAAGCTGGCCGACTAGAAGACGTTGAAGTCGAAGAGGGGGACAATGCTGACGCTGTGATGGATACTGGTGAAGATGAAGCAGCGAGAGGGGAGGACCGGGCCTTGTTTATTGACAAGTCCACTGGCTCAGTCTGCGTCTGGAAATGGTCTGTGCACAAGGCCTCTTCTTCCGGATCTGCCTTCATGGTGTTCAGCAAGAGGGGCACGGCTTCCATATCTGGGTAATTATGAACGTTGGGAGACTGTGGAGAGAAAAGAAGGAAAACGGGTCATCCCAGCTGAACAGCCTTCCAGAGGTATCGGAACATTTGGCCACACTGCCACGACTTACGTATTTTTGCGGACAGACGATGTGAGCCGTTACTTTTCGACTCTGCTTGTTCCCCATTACAACAGAAGCAACCAGAAATCTTAAGCCATTGCTAGTTTATTTTTCAATAGACTTCCTTGAACAGAGAAGTCCCAGTTGGTCTGCAACTGTTACACTGTAGGAAGCATTTTTAAGGCTATGCTATCCTTGTTGTTGCCCTGTCGTTTTACAGCCAAGGCCTTGTTATCCAGATCAGTAAAAGCCTCTTACAGCCTCCACTGTTCCACTGAACATTTGAGTCACTTTATTTTCACCCCTATCTGGTCAGCATATTGAGGCTGAATCGCTCTGTCCTGTTCAGGGTGAGGTCAACTCCTTATTTGATATTACAGCTGGCAAGCGTCAACCCAAGGCAAATGCTTTGCAAGTTGGAAAGAAAGAATTTGGGACCAGGTTTTCATTAGAGAAAAATGCCATTAAGGCTGCAATCACAAACCACTTAAATCGCCACGTCTTGTCCTCTGCACAACCCAAAGCCCACAAAAAAATTCAATAAAAATGACAGACAGAGATGGAGGACAACGGGGACCGGGGGCGGGGGGTGCCTCTTTAGCTTTCATGTCAGGAATGTAGGAGATCTCCAGATTTCACTGCCTGAAATGAAATGAAGGGAGCTGCTCCAACTGTAAAAAGTACAGGAAGACAGCAGAGGTAGGCCACAGCATTGTAAGGGAGCTGAAGGTAGTAGGATAAAGAAATTCGTGCTTGTGGGTTGTACTCTTTGTGGGTGTGCGTATTTGCACAGATATACAGACTCGTGCAAGCCCTGTAGCACCTCCTGGTTCAGAACAGTTGACAACGTGTGTTTATGAACCACAGTGGAGGACTGGAACTCAGGGTCTGCGAAAGCTCAGAAACAAGGGGACCCCCAGTCCCACACCCCACATTCTGGCACTGAGCTCAGGACCTTCGTTCAACCTCAACTTTCCAGAAGCCCACCGAACATCTGGAAACCAAATCCAATAAATAAATTCCAAATACGTTACGTCTTATTTCCTTAGGGTAAAGCAGGGAAGGTATGTAAAAATACTTTATCAGGACACTTCCCCTTTCAGTAAGAAATCCAGAGCGGGGGGGGGGGGAAATGATGATACCTATTTCTCTGCCCTCCTGAGTAGAGCAAATTGTCAGGAGAAGAAAAGTGCAGGTTTCATAAATTATCATTATTGGGTCAAAAATGAAGATGAGCACATCAGCTCTATCTGCAACTAGACAGATTTAAGCCTGACTCCCCAGAGACCCAGCTCCAGTTACTTTTCATGTTGACATATGCTTCTGATGCCCAAATTACTTTGCAGTGCAAATTAGTACTGTCAAACCGGAATATATTACAAATTAAAGGGGAGAAATTTATACTTCCTTTTTTCCTACATAGAAAATAATATCTTAACTTTGAGTATACACATAATTGCATATTACAGGCTTGAAATTTTAATAGGATAAAGCCGAAAGCTGTGAAATGCGGCCATTTTACCAAAATGATTTAGAGTCTCATGAATTGGCTTCAATAAATCAAGCTCTTTATGACCCAATGAGATACAATATGATTACTTTCAAAGGAGAGCAGAGATGAAAGGCTGAAAAAGCCAGCTTGTATTCGGCGGGATGACACGGCTGTCTAAGGGCCTGCTGGCCTGCCGTTTTCCAGGAAGGCCTCTTTTGTGGGTTGCATCTCCTCGGGGAAACCCCATCATGAGAAAAACATATTACAGATACGTGTTCACATGGCGCAAATTAAGCTGATGCCTCCAGTGGACGCTGTGCCAATCCCTCACAATCTGGCACGTAAGCCTTGCGGTGGTGTGTCCTGCGTCTCTGCTCGAACCTCAGCTGCAGGCCCAGCGTTGGAGCTCCGTCCCAGCAGGAGCTCCCAGGACGTTCAGACGCTGCTGTCCCAGCACCCAGAACCCATCTGTCTCCGAACCGCGTCTTTCTTAAATCAGGCGTCCAATAAAGAACGCCTGCGCTTCAATGTGACTTGTATGATTTATTAGCTAATTATAAATTGGATTTGCCTCCCCGGCACTTGTACATAACCATCGAGTACTAAGCCAAATATCCTCTAATCTGCTATTGTCTGTTGAATTAGCACAATTTTAAAATATATATATATATAATAATGAATGCTGATTTGTTGCTGCTTCTTGGTGAATTTGTAAAATTATTATTATTTGTCCTTGGGTCATTTCCATCTGCATTGCTGCAGCCAATGACCTTGGCTTTGTTGATTGGCCTCCATAACGTTATCCTCCCAAATGCTGCCCCACGGCCTCATCCGTCTGTGGGCTGGCTCAGGGAGCCAAGACGGAGTGCAGAAGGAGAGCCTGAAGAAGGAGATAAGGAGGGGGACCATCCCAGCATCCAGGAAAGATGATCCTGGGAGTAGACAGGTCCGCAAGGAGCTATGCTTCCCTGCCACAAGCAAGCGCAACATTATACGGTTTCACCCTCACAGCCAAGAAGGCTGGTTCTGCAAGCAGGTCCTTAGTGGCTGGCAATTAATACAAAATGACACTTTAATATCGTTTCATTCTCTAAGAAAGGGAGTTGCAATTTTAATCCATTCAGTCTGCAGTTTTGTCAACTAATGTTTTAGTGGATTAATTGACAGGATAATTTAAGTCATCAAGGGCAACTTTAAATTAGAGAAGTGAGAGACAATGGTAACTCAATTTATTAAAGCTATTACTGCATTCTGTTGTGATTTTATAACACAGATTATTTTTCTCTAATAAATAAATGATGGCTTCTCTTTGTACTGAAATAATAAATTTATCTCACTCTGCAGTCAATGCCTTACCAAATATGTTATTATCATAAAGTTTTGGTAAGATGCAAAAATATGTAAATTGTAACCCTATAAAAATATAAAAAGATGGATCTATTTGAACAAATTTTAATTGATTAACCATCTGCTTATAGCCAATTAATGAACATTTTTTGCCCCCCATGGAATGAAGTCTTAAAGAAATCCCAAAGCTGTTACATGAAAATTCATCTTACACTCAGTTCTGACTTTCAAGAATCTTATATTGAGGTATACCTAGAATCATAATCTATACAACATTGTTGATTGGGCAAATATTGATGAAACGCTCAAAGTGTGACCTTTTAAACCACCAGTTCAGTTCTTTCCCACAGCACAGAATGACAGCCACAGAGGGATATATTTGTCACCGCAATAGAGAAACCACCACATGTCCCGCTTTCTCTCTCCTCCAAAGACATGGAATAGATCTTCTGAAGGGAATGCCAGGCCTGCTGAACAGCTTGTACATCAACACGACAACAGTCCTGTCCCCAGGCCTTCTTGGAAGTCATCTTGAAATTCACGTGAAGTTCACTAAGGCTCCGGACTGAAAGGTTATCAGCAACACTAGATTTTATCTTAATAGAAACTGTTCCCGAATGAACCTCGCCAAAGAAATTGCTAGCTTCAAACTGTGATCCAGCAATAAGGGGGCCTACCAGATATTTTCAGGGAAGTGTCAGGGTTGATCTAAATGGCAGGCACTTGACTGCTCTTCCACCAGGCATCCACTATTCTAAGTATGAGATCCCAAGAACGGCACCTCTGTGGGTCCCTATCAGGCTTCTGGCTTCATTTGGCTTTTCATATGAAAAATAAAGCAAAAATAAATGGAATGCTGCAAAGTAATGATCAGCCTCCAGCATTATATTTACTTCTTCAGGAAAATGCTCCGAGAGAAGACGACCAACTGGAAGCAATTCTCTTGAAATACAGTAGTGCAAAACATTTATATGCATCCCAGTGAATGACATATCTTTGCACCATTCAAAAGGGGAGCATCCTGCATTCATGCAAAGCACAGGAATCCACGCCAAGTGTGTGACGGGCCTTCCATAACCTGTGAGTTTTCCACACACATGTATCCCTGTGAGTTCCATTCACCTAAACCCCATAAAATATGCAGGGAGCTTCTTCCAGCACAAAGGCACATCGGCTAAATTATTAATGTTTGTGAGCCTGATCAGTGGGGATGGAAGGTTGGAAGTCGAGGCCCTCCCCAACCCAACACACAACAGCTAGGCCAATTAGACCTGTGTTGAACTCTGCCTCATCCCCAAACACCCTCAGAACAGGTTACCATGTAGAACAAGCAAAGAAGCCACACCATAAAAACAGAAGATACACACAACTGATACCTAATGTGTCCAACACATTCTCTAGATTCTACCAGCACAGGAATATCCAAGATCATTATAGACATGAAACAACAGGATGGATAGCACCTGGCATTTAGAAAAGATACCAACGGCAGTGATGCCAGACAAATTAGGATACTGCTACACAAAAGGTTCCCTCACTGGTGGCTACCCAACTGATCTCAAGAGAGAGGAAGAGAGATTGAGACTGAACTGTTGAGCAGCTACAGTCAGGCATTCATGTATCTGGGCCTCAAGATCAACCAAGGTCAGGCAGGTGCTACCATTTAGAGAGGCCCTTCACAAACACTGTCCTTGTCCCTGTTCCCCTCCGCATGAGTATATCCAAACGTATTTCACATGGCTAATATAAAGAAGAATTAGCCTTGAGCGATGCTGCTGCTAAGCCTACTTGGGAATTTAGGACATCTGAGGGATTCCCAAGTAGACTTAGCAACAGCAGCCTCTCTTGAGGCTAATTTTCTCTATCTGAGAATAAACTCTAAAACTGGGCATAAGCGAATATTCTATTCTGATTATTAACGGGCAGCAATTGGCTGTTTGCTTAAGATTATCCAAAATGCTGGGCTGCCATCAGGGAGACGTGAGAATAGGTCTGTCATGAAGAACTTTCCCAAATCTTTAGCATCACACATATCTCAGGTAGGAGTTAAGCTAAGAGCCCAAGTTTTCAGGGTAGAGATG